AATACAATTAATATTATGCAGAACTGAGTTAAGCATTTTGGCCCAACCCTCCACAATATTTTCAGTTTTTCATGTGGCCCCATGGAAAAAATAATTGCCCACCCCCTGGTCTATGCTGTATAAATAGTAGGGATGTAACAATAACTAAAATATCGTAATATCGTATCCTCAGAACTCACAATAAAACCGTGGTTCATCACAATATATATCGAATTGCAAGGTTTTTCACTTAAAAGTAATAAAAAAGAGGGAACTGCATAGGTCATGATCCTTTACTTACTTTAAAATAACTGTTTTTAAGCACTTTAAATTTAATTTCTTTGAAATATGGCAGTAATGATTCACGCTGAAGACTAGTCACGGTATTTAGAAATGAAAAAATAGCCTATGTACAATTCTGTTAATCACTATTGCAACAATTATTGTACCGTGAGATGCATATCGTGATAATATCATACCGTGAGATTTGGATATCGTTACATCCCTAATATACATTTATACAAAGCAATAATATTTCCATGGACACAAGCACTGGAAATGTTACGCAGTGCACCTTTAACACTGAGATAAACATTTAAAGTGGTGCTATGTAACATTTTTGGTGGAGGGTCCATTATCAGCTTGGCTCTACAGAGAAGTTATTGTTTGCCAAGAATATTCTACAGTACAGGATTAAGCTTCTCTATTTCCAGGACGACATATAGGGCCAAGCTACAGGGCAGATCTGTGGAGAGGCGACTCTGCTCACAGTATAGAAAGCATGTTTGTTAGGTATTTTTGATAAATTAAATAACATATAATTGAATAAACGCACTTATAATGCCATATTGTGGAAAATTCTACATGGAGACCAGCAGGTGGCAGACCCCTCACCAGAAATGTTACCTAGTCCAAAACTGTGAAAATGACCTCTCTCTCAGTCTTGCCCAAAAGCACAATGGCACTTGCAGCTGAGGGAGAACGGTGCCAGCCTTGTTTGTAGTGCTCTTAATATATGGTGCATTTTCAGAGTTGCTGTTTATCTAGTTTGTCGTGAAACAGCTTTTGAACTCCACATTTTGACAAACTATCTCCAGGTAAGATTCAGGCAGTTAGACAAAGACGAATGGCCTGAGCGAGGAGATTTATTAGAAAACACTCCGACAATAAATGATGCTAAAATGAAGTACTAATTTTCTTCACTATGCAATTGTATCTCATTTGTATTGTAACCTGGGGCCTTCTACCGAATTGACTCAAAGAACTGAACAATAGAACATAATAGAGCTTTTCAAGTATCATTATTCAATTACGAAGTAGCACAAAAGAAGGACATTAAATAATTAGCACTTCTTGCTGTTGACGATCTGTCACTGGCGGAACAGTCTGATGAGTTCAATCTTCTCAGGACTTGTGAAGAGCACATGCGACCAATTACATCTCATTAAACTAAGTGGTTAAAGCTTCCAAGATGATGAAGAGAGCGTATAAGTGAAAAATGTGTCTTCATGGGGTTTAAAATTATCTCAACTATTTAAAACTTGTATGGAAAAAGAATATGCCGCAATCTGTGACAAAGAAGGCTTCTCCGGTGTTGGAAAAAATACAATTAGAAGTTACAGCGATGTTTTTCTTGATGGGTCATGGAAGGTGTAGAACAAATTAAATGTTGGAAAGAGGAAAGACTTGCTTGGTACAACTCTAAACTTGATGATTTTTACCCCATTTTGATGGACATTCAATTCAATGCAGACATCTAACACACAGGTTTTACTGACGTGGATTGGCGGTGGACTTCTTGATTAAAAAAAAAAAACAAGCTGGCAATTATAAATGACTGACATTAATCTCTAACTTAATTCAAACTGATTAATTGCACAGCCCTATGTGGAAGTGTAGAACATTACTTACGCCTGCTTTGAGGAAAACAGATCCACCAGTTCAAGCTAACTTCATAAACAACTAAATCACTCCAGAGTTTCTCGTAGTTTCTCGTTGACTGAATTAAACTTTTAGAAGTTGTAGCTTTAAAACAGCTTCCCTGTACTTTGTCTGGAGGCTGGTGTCACCGCCTCTTCCGCTAAATGAGAAAAATTGGTCCAAAGTGGCCGACTGGATTCAGATCAAATTAATATCCTGGCAATGAGCGAGCACTTTTCAGGCCACAATTAGTGTGGAAGCTCTCAGTTCACTTTGAAAGTCTGCCGTAATGGACAGGTGCAGGTGGAACTAAACGTCACCGGACTTTAGAGAGGTCCAGAACTTTTAATACAGTGTTAGTTTTGTTAACAAAACAGTTTTGTTAAAAGTGAGGGAAAAATAAAACATTTAATCTCATGTTTTTTCACAGTTCACTTTTTTCAGATAAATATGCATCTCAAAATTCATTGTTAATTTGTCTTGCAAACATAAGAATTCAGACACAAACTTATAGGTGGAGGTTTTCAGAATCTAGAATGTGTTGATGTGCTCACAGATGCAAGACCGTTTTTCTTATTAATTACTTACTGTATTCTCATAAGAAAAAAACAAAGAGTGAATTAACAAATTTTGAATCTAATTACTTATCCTAGTGACTAGACCAGGGGTGGGCAAACTTTTTGACTCATGGGCCACAAAGGGCTCTAAAATTTGACGGAAGGGCCGGTCCAGGAGGAAATGGATGGAGTTTTTTGGTAATCCACCTCATAAGAGAAAAAAATTACCTGGGATATGTAGAAAACAGACCCCATGTTATTGGAATATCTCATCATTGAAAATCATTACAAAGCATTACAACAAAATATCTGTCTTTCAAGTTCCATGGTATTTACTATTTATTGAAATTACTTTTAAAACACTGAAAAATTATCATTATTATTATCATTATTCCAGTTTGGCGGACCGGATTAAAAAGATTAAAGGGCCGCATATTGCCCCCGGGCCGTAGTTTGCCCACCCCTGGACTAGACCCTAGAACTTGGTATTATACAACCAAAATCTGTATTTTAGCAGTATGACTGAGGACCCCCCAAAAATGAGATGGCGAGACATCAAGGGGCTTATCCTCCAAGCAAATTAATTAAAATTTCAATTAATTTAAGCTACTCTTATCTGTATTTAATATTCTTGCCCTATATGAATGAACGAATGCTGCGATTTCATCTGAAACCCAGAAAGAGTGGCAGGAACACAGACTTACTATCTAAAGCACGACAGTCTGACTAACACGTTATGCTAAGTTGACATAGCAATAAGATAAATATGACAAATTTAGTTTTAATTTTCAGTATCTGTTGCAGAAAATAGAAAACTTAAAAGTTTCAAACTTCTACTTATTTGGTCTGTAACGACTGATCTTGGATAATATAATTTCCATACTTTTATACAGCTGTTTTAACAGCAATAACAATATGTACCTTTATGCAGAGAATTAAATGACAGCTTCTTAAATATAGGAAACACTGTAATAATTAAATGTAAGATGATTTTTGTGAGCTCTTATATAATCACGTTTCAAGTCCACGTTATCTCCAGACTCCAATATTCTTTGCATGCATTCAAACTTCTATTCACACTTACCACTATCGGATCAAGTCATTCATTTGGTACAAGATGTCTGAAGTCGTTTTTGCCTAAACATGTTTTGAAAGTTTGTCCAAATCCGCAGGAGAAAGTATGTCCACATTCCACAGTGTTTAAACTTGTACAGCTTGTTTCCCTGCAGAGATGTGATTGCCGATGTCTGTTTATGCGATGATGGAACAGACTCCACTCCACCTGCCCACTCAGAGCAGTCCAACACATGGTGACACGCAGCCCGCGGCGCTCATTTAAACATCAGTCCTCCGCCACAACTAAACTGGGCACATTTGAATTGAGATGATAAGAGCCAGGATCCATGGAGGCCAGAGCCAAACCTGTCATTTACTGTCAGTGGTGTGGTCTTCGGACTTATTTCAAATTCAGACAATATTGAGAATTGCTGTCAACACTGCTACTCTTCCATTTGAAACATTATATTATCCACAACACTGCTCACTAAAATACTGGGTCTGGTGATTGTGAAGTAAAATAGATAAGAAAGTATGTTATTTTTTGACTTTTGACCAAAATGAATTACCACTACGAAGTGTTGGTTTGTGCAGTTAGATTGCTGCTTCTGTGACCAAGACCCCAATAATAGAAACACACATGGATTTGTGAATCTTCACTGGCTACAAGTTTCTTTCTGAAATTACCGTGGAATAAATTATTCTCTTTTTGAACATTGTATCCGGGTTCCAGATTTTTTCCTCATATATTTGTAATAAACTGCCAATCGTATAAGCAGGTCTTGAAGTCAAAATACTGTCTGCATCTAATTATAAAACTTTTAATTGCCTGATAATTAGAATTAGTTGTTGCTGTTAAGTTTTACCATCACGGCAAAAGTTCGGACTGGTCTCAGAGAGAGCTTATCATGGTGAAAAATTAGGATGCTCAGAATATTTTTCACATTTTTAACAGGATAAAAATCTGGCTATGAGAAAAGCACTTACAACTTCCTCTTCTTTGGGCCCTGAAACTTTCCTGTTTTGGCAACTGTATCCACCACAAACTTAGTTCATAGAGGTTCAATTCACTTACCTGAGTAATTACTTCAAATAAATAAAGCAAGTTCAAAGCCACTGTTTGCGTACATCATGTTCCTTTATGCAAAAACTGAAAGCACTCAAAACTGTTTAAATATTGTATAAAGAATAGCAAGCATCAATCAGAATTAAGGCTTACATTTTCCTTTGAGTGTATTCCACATTCTCTGTGTCATGTAGCGGCCAATTCTTAATATTACTATTTAAAAATACAAACTTCTGCAATTTGATAAAGACATTTGAGACTTAAAACTTAATCCAGAATTATATTAGAACACATATTTAAGCCAACACACTTTTTATTCTATTAAACCATTGATTAAGTTTTAAAATCAAATCACAGAGCTTCAATACTTGATGTGCGAGTTGGGAAATAGACAGTAAATTTCTTCTCTTCTAAGTACTTACAGTGACATTGTGGTTGGCCAGTGTCACCAGCTGGCCCTCCTCTGTGTAGTAGGTCTCTGTGAAGTCTGGACTGAGGAGCTCCCTGCAGAGACAAGAGACAGGAGTGATTAGAGGAGAGTTAACACAAAGGATGGTGGTAAAATGGTGTCTGAGCAGCAGGTAGAAATGGGACTGAATGAAGAAAATGGCAGTTAAGACTATAATTGACAAAATGGCTTCAGGCAAGGCCATTTGTTGCCGTAAGGAAATTGCTGCTGTAATGTGTTGAGAAAGTAGGCTACATAGTGGATCTGCATTATATGTTATTATTGTAATTTCAGTGATTCGTAATACGGCTGCAGTACAATAACAATCTTCACTCCTGAAACATTTAAGTGATCAAAGCAATTTTTTATTAAAATGTGTTGTTTAACATCTACGTGAAATGTTTACAGAGACTTAAAGTGTTCTGTTAAAAGAACTGTACGACTGATAGGCAAGTGCAAAAATATTGAAATATCGACATATCGTATCATTTAATGTGATGAGACAGTATCAATATTGTGGGCTGCTGTATCGATATATCGCCAAGAGTATTTTTTTTTTTTTATATTTTACTCAATTATTTTGTTACAGAACTACAGTTTTGTTACTTGTTTAGAGGAAGGAAACTCATTTATGCGACACATTTGACATTTTCACTGTTTTGAGGATTAAAATGTTTGTGTTTCATATTAACTTTGCACAAGACATGGATTAACAAAGACGTTTAGTGTCACAGCCATGATTTGGCCTTTATTTTCACTGAACCGTAAAGAACTAAATTTGAAATATATCATATCAAATCTAAAGTGCACTGTGACGAGATATGTATCATATCATGGCCTATGTATCAAATAATGTATCGTATCGTCGCCTATGTATCGAAGTATGTATCGTATCATGGTCTATGTATCAAGGTATGTATCGTATCGTGGCATATGTATCGAGATATGTATCGTATCGTGGCATATGTATCGAAATATGTATCGTATTGTGGCCTATGTATCGAGATATGTATCGTATCGTGGCCTATGTATCTAGATATGTATCGTATCGTGACCTATGTATCAAGGTATGTATCATATTGTGGCCTACGTATCGAGGTATGTATCATATCATGGTCTATGTATCAAGGTATGTATCGTATCGTATCGTGGCCTATGTTTCGAGATATGTATCGTATCGTGACCTATGTATCGAGGTATGTATTGTATCGTGGCATATGTATCAAGGTATGTATCGTATCATGGTCTATGTATCGAGATATGTATCGTATCGTGGCATATGTATCGAGATATGTATCACATCAACAACTTCTTAATGATACCCAGACCTAATGGCCAATATAAGTAAATTAACAGCATTCGAAGCTGTACTTTTAAAATCTTTTCAAATGTACCTGAGATTATTAATGAGTTTTAAAAGCAGTCGTTTTTGCTTCTCAATTCCAAACAAAATGGATGACATTTTTCATTTTGAATGCTTGTAGCATAGTTACTCTGTCTCTCTATAATTATTTTATGTCTCTGGCTTGCATCATCCGTAGATAATGCAATGATACAATAGATTGCCCAGAAGAACCTTGGCCAGAACATTGTTGCCATGTCGCTAAGCTAATAGCATTAGCTGATAACATTAGCTAATCCCATTAGCGAGACAAGTGATGGACAGCAGATGACCCTGCAGCGGCCCACGATAACAATGAGTACTTCCTGCTTACACAATAAACAACACTGCCAGGAGTATTGCAAAAATACAAGCAGTTTTGAGGTTTTATAGCTCAGACAGCCTGAACAAGAGTCTGTGAAAGTTATTTGTACATTTCACTAGAGGTTGTATCGCCACCCTAAAGTGTTCATTAAGTTAAGACTGAGACATCAATAGCTGCGTAATGGGCAGCCAGTCTATAGCAACACTAGAATGAATAGTCTTTGTTTTCTATACTGATCACACAATGAGCCAACACTCTGACCAGTCCCTAATCATCCTATTGATCTCCCAACATCCACCAAGACAAGCACAAGAGTAACTTTAGTAGTGCTAAGGACTTCTGTGAGACTGGAATACACGATGAGGAGCTGGGCTGAACTTTGGGTCCATATCAGCAGGTTTTCCAGCTTGTCCCAGTTAAAGGTGGCTTCTTTATGTAATATTTAAGTAGAAATAAAAGCACTTACAATAAGAGTGGTAGAATAATGTCTCCACAGCAGGGACTGACAGTTTCATGATATTACAAATGCTCTTACATGTCTAGTTTGAAGCCCAGAGGTAACTGTGCCTGGGGCCTCCACTGTCTTCACACAGTCTTCTTGACGTAGCCTTAGCTCTTTTTGTCGACCACTCTCCAAACAGCATACAGCTTTGTCAGCAGATATTGGTGTCTTTGATGTAGCCTTATTCTGTAAGCTGTGCACATCGCTGGTCCACACAGGGGTGAATCTACTATATCTCTGCATTTTAGGTCCAGTTTTTGTAGACAAACCTCTTCATGCCAGGTGCAGTGCTGACTCAGGGACCATTGTTGTTTTAAGGGTCTACTCTTTTGTGATCTACGTTATAAAAGGGTGACCAGACGTTCCAATTTACCCAGGACAGTCTCAGTTTTGAGCCCTGTGTCCCCTGTCCCAGCTTATTTATCCTAAACCAGTGATTTGTCTCAGTTTTATACAAGAAAAATGTCCCAGGTGTCACTATTTTTGAGCAATTTGATCCCTGTCAACAGTAAAGAGAGGCATAAATTGTAATTTGTTTCGCTAAAATACAGAAAAGCTGCTTGAAAATGACCAAAACACAAAGAAAATGTGATTTTACTGGCACATGTTAGTCGTGAATAAATCATGAATGGGCTAAGTGCAGAACAATTTTCCTTAACTATGCACTCTTTTCACAATTTTATTATTACCAACAATCACAAACATTACAATGTTCTTCCCTCGTCACAAACATACCTGGAGTTGTGTTTTGTTTCACTCACACATGATACATTACATTAAAACAGAAACCCTGCATATTTAGGCTCTACTCTCAAGAAAAAAAAAACAGTCTTTCACCTTGTGATGTCATGAAGTGCTCCATCGTGTTTTTAAACTCGATATACCTTCACTAGAATCATTTGGATAATTTCAGCCCTGGAATTGCCCATTTCTACTGACCTAAAGGTAAAAGGGTAGCTTGAAAACTATCGCTTCATGACATCACAAGGTGGAACAGAGCATTTTGAGCATTTAAAGAGTTACTCAAACATGTGTGAATGAAACAAAACACAATTCCAGGTCTGTTTTTGATGAGATAACAACATTATAACACGTCACAGGTCCATTTTGTGTAACTGTGGAACTTTAAATTGATAACCTGGGTGATATTGCAGTCAATATTTTAACTTTTTTATGATGCTACATTAGGAGCTGTCTATGAAATAGCAGAAAGCTTTTATTAATAACATTTTGTAGTGTATTTGTTATGTTTTCATTTTCGTGCTACCTAGGGACTCCAGATGGAAAGTAGCTCTTTACTGAATCTGTCGCAAAGCATCTTCTCATTTTATAAGATTAATGTCTCTGTTCAGTCCGACCCTGACAAATAAATAATAAAGTAAAACTTGTTGGCGACTACTGGTCTATGACTCTGATGCGTCGTGTTTTTGTTACAGCTGAAAGAACAGCAGTAAGTGGGTGTGTGCGAGACCTTGTTATATCAGTTAACTTTAAAGAAACGCTAAGTCAGACAAAGCTTGGATAATATGCATAGCTTCCCATTGCTTTCTGTCAAGGCCTGTATCATTTTCCGACATTGCTGAGCTCGCTGGCAAAAAGCATAATCTCCTCCAAATGAAATGTTGGATCAGCAGCGGCCGCGCCTCTTTCAAGTTGATGGAGCTGGACTTTGATAAGAGCGAGAGACAAAGAAGGAGCAAACTTCCAAGAGTCTTTGTTGTGATGGCATCAAGCTAGATTCATCGGCACTTTCCTTATCTTATGCTAATTCTTATCGCGACCATGCAAACTTGCTTCTACACTCGTGTCCCCTGTTCTGCGCAAAGACAGACTGCAAAGTAGAAGGAATAGATTTGTTGTCACCCCAAAGGTCACCGTATGCAAGGTGCAGACACGTTTAACATTCACAATCTCGTAGGTTTTTCCTTCAAGAAAGTGTGCCCAGGTTGAAAATACATCAATTACATCACGATATCTAGATACAGTGCTAGTAATTTATTTTTATCTGTCAAACTGGCTGATAGCGTTGTGTAAAATAGCCATACCAGGATGCTGACCAAATGCAAGTGGTCTCAATCAGATTAAATCAATACAACTGTAGGCTGATATCATTCCATATATCATTTGGCCGATATTTCCCTGTTTTAGTTAATCGGCCTCAAATCTTCAGCATAAGTCGATATGTTGTTTAGATTGAGTTGGTGCCTAAAGAATTGACATTTTTCACAACGACCGAAGTGCCACGATGTAGGGTAAACGTCACTCCCGGTTAATGCTTTTCTATAGCAAAATATCTGTGGAAATGTCTTAGATATTTTCCGCCAGCTTCATAAATCTGCCCCATTACTAAATCTTCAACCAACAAGGTCGACAAAGGACATATTCTGTCCAAGAAGAATTTATCCACAACTATCAAGGTAAGAAAGACGAAAACTTAAAAGCGAACTGCATAAGCACCTTAAGTAACAACAAAGTAACTTGTTAATTAAAAATCTATTTCATGATGTAGATATCAGCATAGACAGAGATTTGTGCAGTTTAAATGCTAGACATGTAATCTGTGAACATTTGCAGCATTCAAACTGCACAAATCTATCTATTAGTTAACGCGTTACTTATTAACAAATGACTTATTACTTATGTTTTATTCATGACCATAATGTTAGTTTTGCTCAGGAGTAGTTCACTAAGTCTTTGTAGTCTCTGCTAGTCTTTGTTCACCTTTAAGTTTTGGTCTTTCTTTCCTTTACCTTGATAGTTGTGGATAAATTCTTCATGGACAGAATACATTCTTTGTCGACCTTGTTCGATAAAGATTTGGTGATGGTGTAGGCAGATTTATGAAGCT